TGGCGAAAGGTGGTGTTCAGTGGGTGGTGTTCAGTGGGTGGTGTTCAGTGGGCGGTGGTTACTGTTGTTCGGTTGAAGCAAGTGCGCAGACCTTGAGACACACGCAGTAAAGTTAAGTTGTTGCCCTTCGCTTCTGGTTGTCACTTGTTAAACGCCTCGTTGTTTTTTTTTTTTTGCTTCTCTTGTTTTTGTTCTTGTTGTTGTTAGTTCTTCTGGCGAGCACTGGGGAAATCAGTATTAATTACTCGGACGGACATATGTTGCCCGTATCTGAACCATAAATTACGGGGGAGATTAGCAAAGACTAGTTACTATAAATAAGCGTAATACGAGCTATAAACATTTAAGTGAACAGCCATGGACCTTAAAAGGTTGTGCCGAGAGATTAACGAGGGCTAAAAATATACTAAAGACTTTGGTTAATATGGCTCCTATAATGTTAATTAATTCTTCACCTACCCCCTATTTCATGTATACTTATTAGTTGGTACGTTTAATACCATGTCTTACATCATATGGATAAAACTATAAGCAGATGACAGATAAAATAATAATTTATACCTTTGCATTAAATTTTTATAGCAATATACATATTTCTTCAAATCAATTCGTGTAAAAGAAATTTTCTTAATTTGAAAAGGATGGAGAAAAGAAAGTTTAGTTACGAAATTATAACCTCATAAATTTATAAAGAAATATTTTACTGTATATCACTACGTTTCATATTCCTAATAAATTATCATAATTTAAAAGAGATAAACTCAAGCGGAAAACCTTTTGGGAAACAAAATCAAACACTCATAAATTAACAATAAAATATGGAGTAATAATGCTCAATCAGTGAGCTGTAAAACTTAAAGTTTATAAATCACCCGAGAGGACAACCTTTGGGGGATTCAGGGATTAAGCCCTAAACCAGCTGAAGTTGAGAATAAATTAGCAAATCAACTTCCTGTTTCAAAGGGGCTAAGTAATGATACAAAGTCTCCCCTCCCTTCGCACAATCCGAGAACTTTTTGTGCGTTGGTGGCAACTCTGTCGCCTAATGACCAAGTAAATCGCTCTGCTGAACTTGGCGAAAATGTGATTGATGCAGTGCAGCTCCCCGCGTTTCGCCTCCCAAAGGAAATGCGGCAAACTCGGCTCCATTGACTCCTCTAATGCGATGAGAAATTGTGGGCGCGAAGTGGGTGGCTTTTCCGCAGATTGACGACGAATCGGCGTCGAAATCAAAAGTTAATTTCTGCTCCTCGCATTTGGGCGACAATGCAACCACAGGCAGAATGTCGACAGAAGAGCTGCTGTTTTAAATCGTGAATCCGAAACCAAAACCAAATCCGAATCCACCAAAAAGGTAAAGTCGCTGCCACAAGCCGCAATGCGCTGTCTATCAACATTTTAAGCTAATTAACGCAGTGGCACAAAGCGGGCAAAAAAGGGGAACACAAAAGGAGGCAGAAAAGCGGCACAGAAAAGAGGAGGTGGCACAAAAGGGGGCGTGGTTCGAAGGCGGCTGAGCGGCAGCCACATCAAATGTGCTGGCAGTCGAGGTGAAATGAAATTATTACTTGCCAGCGCGACAAATTGACAAATGGATAATGGTAATCCCTAAACGCTGCCTACACTGCCAGAAAACAGGATGCTCCAAAACAAGAGGAAAAAAGGAGTGTAGTGAGGCAACAAGTGCTGTGGGATTTATCCAAGGTGATCCGATTCAAGCCAGTGGAGCGGGTCGCACTGCAGCAATGCAGTAATAGCGATAGCAATTGCAATGGCAATGCAGTTCTCAAATTGGCCTTCCCTCTGGGAAACCCAGCATGAATCACGGCGGCAAAGAGGCGGGGAGGCCATAATAGACCCGACACTGCCAGACACTAGAGCCTTTACAGCAGGAGAGAAAAGCCAGGAATTGGCCCCGAATCGGGCCACACATGTGAGCTCCGATATGGCCATACCGTACATATACATATGTACATATATATAGATAAAGCCAACCAGCCAGCTAGTCAGCTAGTCAGCTATTCAGGCAGTCAGGCTGTCTTTACTGCCTTTCGAGGGCAAGAAACTACTAATGTTGCAGGCGGAACGGGGTAAATGTGCACATACAACACATTCAACACATACAACATCTTTCTGCCAAATGGCATGTTCAAACAAAATTAAGCTCGCCAACCAGTGTTGTGTTGTTGTTTCTGTTCTTGTTATTTTTGCTGTTGTTCAGCACGGGTCATCAAACCAAGCAGGGATTGCAACTGCAGTGCGTACAGGGTGTCCCTGAATAGGTAACCTCATTTGGACAATAATTAAGATAATAATATACTTATTTAACAATACAAAACAAAGTTTCAGTGCACAACTGTTTAAATATATAACTTCGGATTAATTTCAATTATGGCATAGAATCTTTTTTAATTACAAACCAAAAGGAAAATACATATATTATTTAAAGAAAAAGTTAACAACACTTCTTTTGTTTGTAAGGCTTGAAAAATATTTTTCTAGAAATTAAATTATAAAACTAAGACTTACGCAGTACTATTTCTACATACAATTAATCTTGTAATTTAATTGTGTAACAACAATGAAAGTTCAAGGGTTGCACTAAATTTAAGGCGTCATTTTGTATAAACGTTTCCAAACTGCGGTTTAATCGCTTTTAAAGTGTTTCTCAGGAAATTAAATTTTAATGGCACAAAGAAAACCGGCAAAAAACGCCGAAAGCGGATTTTACAGTGGCAAAAAACGAGATGCGAACCGTTGAAGTTCCGCAAAAATATCCCGACGAAGAGCTTTTCAATCATTATTTCACTTAAAGCAATTTAATTTGGACGCTTTGCTCTTTCGGCCGCAGGCACCCTGTTTTTATTTTTATTTATTTTTTTTTGTTTTTTTCGTGTTTTGCAGTAACGAAAATATTTTTCAAGCAAGTGAAGAAAAATTAGCAACAATAAATTGAACGGAAGTTTCTGCTCAAATTGAAAGTACGAGCTGTGGGGGAAGGTTCGTGGATTCCCCGGAAAAGGAACTGCTATCCTTGGGGGGCGGTGGGCGTGGCATGTTTGTCTGTGGCTGTTACTGCGGCCATTCGGTCAACATACGAGTGAACACGTTGCTTGAGTGTGTGTGTATGAGTGTTTTGTGCGTGTGTGTGTGTGGCTACGTGCCACTCGTTGTGTCCTCCGAAGGGTTCTCCTGAGCTCCTGACTGCCTCCTGTCTAGATTGAAATTCCACACCCGAGCCAAGAAGGGGCGTGCCACGCCCCCTCCGTGCACAGGGGAAAAAACTTGCAGCCACTGAAGTCCTGGCTTAAAATGTCGTCATAATGAAATTAAACACCGTAATAAAATGGGAAATTAAATGTACTCTTTATGTACACTGATGTGGACCTAAAACAGCTGGGATTGGGGTCACCAAGCTATAACTTCTGCACATCCTTACTCTATATATATATATGATCCCACCATAAAATGTTATTCGTTACCCATCATCAAAAATTGTATTTGATTGGATTTTTGTAGCATCTGAATTTATATTTTATTTATATTAATATTTGTTGATTTTTTTTTGTCACCGGAATTGTGTATTTATTGTTAATTTTTGAAATATTTTACCTTGTTCAAATGTATATGAAAACAATTTCCTTACAAACCTTTTTATTTGTTTTAATGACAGATTAAAACAATACAATTTCAAGTGCTCTACCCATTATGAGTTTTCAAGCATATTCCAATTTCATAAAAAATATGATGAAAAATGTAACATATTAAGTTATACAAGTTTTGTACATTAATTACAAGCTTTTGCTTGTATTTTTTATTTAAACATGAATTTTTATATTCAGCAAAAAGTATCCTCTTCACTGAGATTTGTTTCTCTGCCTGTAAGGACATGTGGGCATGTGGCGGGAAAGCATTTAAGCTCCGACCGCGGGCTAAAGGACGAAAACGGGACAGACGTTGCATACAGATTTTCAATTTCCATATCGTGTTGCCTGTCTGCAGCCTGCAGCTCTACCATAGCTTTTCCTTTCGGCAATTTCCGCTGCAAGTGCCGAAACAAAGGAATACAAAACATAACAACGCAGCGTCAAACTAAACGTAACTACAACAACCGCAATACCCAACAAAATAAAAAAAAACAACACTCACAAACCTAACAAAAGCAATGAACGAACAATGAAACGAGGAATGAATGAGTGAATTTAGTAACTTAGGCCCAGGCGACAAAACTGTCACTCACCAAACGAGTTAAGGCCGAGGAACTTCATGGGGAAAAATCAGTACATAACGAAGTGCAAAACAAAAAATGGTTACATTTTTTCACTTTGTGTATACTGTTTATGAAATTTTACAAAAGTAAAGTTTTGACAGTCGAATAATAATTTCCCAAAAAAATTGCGGTGATTGCAAGGAAACACCTTAGTCATGGTTAACAAATGCAGTAGTGGCCTTCTCCATCAACGCTAATCGCCATTTAAAGGAAAATAGAACCATTCTGCTCACAGATCAGCAATGCAGTTCCAATGCAATGAAGCGAATCATGAGAAGGATGGGAAGGTTACATCCATTAGGATGTGGAATTAGTTGGATCCCTCGAAAAGGACATGGCCCACACTAGTCTACGAAATCAAACACTCGCATCATTAATAACCAAGTGTTTTTATCCAATTTATTGTAACAAGTATTAAGTGTGATACTATTCAGAACATACTCAGATCAAAAAATAAAGCTTTATTTAGATTAATTTAAAGAAATTAAGCACGAGTTCAGTTTGTGCGGCGTGGGAACGTCATGTAAATGTATATTATTGTTTCGTTTAGTTAAGCACTAAGAAATTAAAAGTAAAAGCAATTGGTAATTGAATAACAGGCTTAAAGGGTGTGATTATTATGTTTCCTTAATTCCTTACGAAAAAATTGTTGTTTTCTCATGATAAATCTAATTTATCAAGCTTTCTACGTAGCGATCTAATGACTTTTTTGTTTCGTTTTTGATTGCAGGTGGTGAGGATGTCGCCTGCTGAGCAGCTTCGCCTGGTCGGAGGATCGGATGGCTACCAACTGGCGGCGAGCACTGGAGGAGGAGGAGGCGGTGGTGGTGGCGCAGGCGGAGGAGGGGGCGTGGCAGGTGGGAGGACCGGAGGAGAGGGCGGCGCGGATGGCGAGAAGCTGAAGGACATGAACGACAAGTATGTGATAGCGATCGCCCACTTCTTGGACTGGCACGTCAACGAAACGGTGGATCTGGAGTGGCTGAGTGGACCGACCCTCAAGTCGAGCATCAAGTCGGTCTACTGGCTGTTCCTCATCCAGTATGCCACACTCGCTCTGCTCGGCGTGGTGCTGAATGTGGTAATTGCGGTGTACATCATGTACCACCGACTCTACAAGGACGTCACTCACGCCTTCATCATCAACCTGGCACTCTGCCACTTTGTCCAGTGCGCCCTCGTCCTGCCCGTTTCCCTCATGGTCATGCTCATCCAGAACTGGATCTTCGGCCAGTTCCTGTGCTTTTTCCTTCCCATGTTGCAGGTGAGTGTGCTTCACTGTACTCAGGCCAAAAGTAATGGAAGACAACTCTCATAAAATATGCACTGGTTATTTACATAAATAATAAGAAAGGAAGATCAAGATCTAGATCAATTATTATTTTTAAATGAAAAAGCCAATTAAGCAAATAAACTATCTTTTAGATTTATAAGTGTGTACTTAAAGTTCCACCATTTTAAACTTAAAATGCCTATCACTTTCTTATTATACAATTATATAATTTTCTAGGAATTTGGTTAAATCAGTCAATACCACTGATACCCACCATTTTTCGCATTAACATACTCAAATTATCATCACTCACAAGAATTATATTTGCTTGCTTTTCCTCTTACCAAATACCACGAAAATTTACAAAAAAAGAGGAAAATACGTTGACGCTCAAAAAATTATGAAAAAGACTAGATTTAGAAGGTTGTGGGTTCGAGGCTCCAGCTCCTTCTCCTCCTCTTCCTGCCCCTTTTCCTTCGACAGCTGCTCCTCCGCCTAGAAGCGGTAGTCGTCCAAGGACAGCTGGTAGGAGGGAGACCCCAGAACGGAGGACATGGGCACCGCCATCCCGAAACTCTGTCGGGTGGTCGGAGCCAACTGGCTGGTGGCGAACTGCTGGGCCACCGACTGCTGCTGGTCGCGGAGCACGTCCTGCTGCTGCTGCTGCAGGAAGCCCATGTGCTGCTGCGTGGAGTAGAAGTCGCCACCAGGCCCGTTCCTCGAAGCTCCAGTTCCAACTCCTGCTCCACCTCCATTTACAGATCCCGGAACTCCTCTGTTGAATTGGGGCTGCGCTCGGTAGGCGAAGTGTCCTCCATCGGCGGGCGGTGGGGAAAGATTCGGAATCTGGGCGGCGGATACGTCGGGGTGGGCCTGGTAGAGCTGCTGGAGCATCTGCTGCTGGCTCTCCAGGAGCTGCCTGGTGCGATGGTAGTCGAGCACTGCCGCTTGCATCTGATCCGCGTAGCTGGGCACAGGGTACGGAGACGAGGCACCAAGGAATTGCTGTTGCTGCAACTGTTGCTGCCGCTGCTGCTGCTGCTGCTGCGGAAGGGAGGGATTCACTGCCGTGAGCTTGCCACCTCCCCAAACTCCTGCCTGCGAGTGAAAGGCAGGATACTGCTGGCCAGGTGGAGGGAATGAACCGAATCGAGGGGGAGCTGACTGCAGAATAGGAAAAAAGCGAGTTAGTATATGTGTACATAAATGGGTATATTAGAAAACAATAATCGACTTATCAACTGTTTTCATTGCCATTATCTTGAACTTTGCAAAAGCCTCTTACATACATACATATAAGTATGTACATATATATAGTACATATGTATGTCTTTTGTGTTAAAGAGAAAATACCAGCTTCAGAATTTACTCAGACTTACGGAAATAGGGCGCCTTTGCGTTTTGCGTTTGATCACCGCGTTGGTCACCATTCTTGTTGCTAAAGATTACGGCCAAAAAGGAAGGCAAGAGAAGTGCAAAAGACCGAAAACCGAAATTTCAGTTTCAAAATCAGATTTAGATTGAAATTGAAATTTTTATATCGAAGCGAAGACAAAATAAACCGAACTGAACCGATTGAGCGAGCAAGTGAGACTGAACATTGTGTTTTGAAAGGTTAACTGACACTTCTCACCTGCCCTTTGGGCAAAACCGAAAGCCCACTTTGATCTTAAAACTATATAGGAAAATATTAAAAGCAGGAAAGGAAGATGGCTTCAGTTAGACCTTTGGTCTATTAAGATTGTTTCCTTTCCTTAAAAATTCAGCAATAAGGGTTAAAATATTTATTCTTTATTTAGTAAAATAAAATACAACGGTGTAATCAATTTTTCCATTATTTTCCGATCTTTCCTATGCGAGCTATATGTTGTGTTATATTCTACACCGAGTTGTTTTGGCATTAAAACATTTTCCATAGCAAACACTGTTAACTACAGCTCTGAGCCAAATTGATCCCATTTGGCTGAGCGGGGAAAAAATGGCATCCGGTCTCACTCGATTGAGCAACGGCTGCTGGTGTCCTTTCGCACATTATCCTTGCGCCGCCCGCCGGGCTGCCCCACCTCATTATGGGAGCCGCCGTGTGATTGACACATACTCAGCGGAATGAGGTTGTGGAGTTCGGTAGTCAGAAGTCAGGAATCAGGGAATCAGGAATTAGGAATCACAAGCAAATAGAATCGTATACTTTCATTCGATTTGATTCGGCTCCGTCTGTCACTTTGCGCATCTTTTGTGTGTGGCGAAAACAAATGCGACCAAAGGAGAAAGGACCTGTGTCCTGGCCACAGGATGGATATGGAATGGTGTGGTATGGTGATGGTGATGGTGATGGTGGCGACGATTTGGAGGGCAGGAGAGCGAACAAACCGCCTGGCAATTCGATTAGGCCCGCCGTCCGTAGAGCAGACAAATGATTACATTTACAACCTTGACGCTGCAGGAGATTCTATTACGGAGCAGAAAGGCATGGGAATCGGAATCGGAATCGGAATAGAATGGGGATATATGTATAGAGGGGTATGGGGATGGGGATGGGGACGAGGATGGTGGTCGGAGGTCGGAACGGGATATGATTCGATTTGATTGCTATCACAAAGGGCGACAAATAGCTGGCGAGCACAAACACACATTTATCACTGCATAGTCACGTGTGCTTATGTGGGTGAACTTCTGCTCCCCTTCCTGTTCCTGTTCCTCTTCCTCTTCCCGTTCCTGTTCTCGTTCCTAAACAGGACCCCCACCTCGGACTAATGGAATGATTGATGGGTGGCTCCGAAGAAACAGCTCCTGTGGCTGCTGCTGCTGCAGACTGAGCCGCACAATTCTGACAAGTAGCGTTAAATCTGCTCCTTTAAGACCTTAAATACTAAGTTCCGGAAAGCGTTAAGAAAAAAAACATAAAGTGAGGTTAGGTTTGTATTATCATCAGAAACCAGGAAAAAAAAACAAAAGAAAGAAACGTATAGCAAACAGTTTAAATAGAATCACATTTTCACCAACAATATTTAAACACAGTACTTGTTTTTCCTTTTTTTTTAAGCTTATAAAAATGAAAGTAAGCTAGCTAGCCTTGCAGTTAGATCTTAAGACTGTAAAACGACTAGACTTATCACAAAGGGTAACAAGGTTTTTTTCACTCTTATAAAAATTAGCAGTAAAGAGCAGTCGTCTTATACTTCTCTAGTTGTGTTCACACGTTTTTTGATCCTTTCCAACACTGTTTCTTCTTTCGCCCGCGTGACACTAAAGCCGTCTCGTTCTTTCCCACTTGACGGTCAATGCGTACGCATGCGCTTGCATTTAAAAGTTGAACTTTTTCTTGGAATTATCTTAAATCAACAAATACGATGGTAAGCGCAGTGGAGGAAGAAACTTTGTTAGCTGACGTTCAATGTTTTGCAGTCGAAGCAGTTGAAACTGATTGAAGTTGAGAAGATAAAGAGTCAAAATGAATTGGCCGAACTATTGCCATCATTGGGTCTTGCCAAGGTGCCTCCATTGTCCCAGGCTCCGGGTGGCAATGAGGCTTTTCTGGACCCGCTGGTCTCCGATCTCTTTTCCAACGGCGAGGTGTCAGTGTTCCTGGTGCCAACTGCCCGAAAAAATCCGGAAAGCGATGTTCCGCAGCGGGAGCAAAGCGTTCTCAAAGAACAGAATGCGAGCAGCGATCAAAACGTGATTAACCGTGGGCTGCCGGAAAATATGCCGGTTACCAGGGCGGCACATAAGAGGTATCTGGAAGAGCAAAAGCAGCTTAAGGATTCGGTCGAATGGCTGCCCAGCTTATCAATTCTTCCAGTGGAAACCAGCACAACTGCTGCACTTGACTTGACTGTCAAAATGGAAGACAATTTGAGCAATATCCCCGAATCTGAATCGAGTTTCGAGTCCAGTATTGATTTGACGGAACCCTTGCTTTCCCAATCGCCGCCGCGGGTTGATCCTGTGGTGGAAACCTTATCACAGGTGGAATTTCCTTCGTTTCAACTGGAGCCGCTCCCGGAGAAGGATGATCATTTCCCGCAGATCTCGGAAAGCGTTTCCCCCCTCCCTGCGTATTTTGCTCAAAGCAACTTAAGCCCGATGGACTTTTTGTCGGGAAATATGGATGATATCTTTGGGTTCCTTGAAGATTCCAGTTCGGAACCCATCTTGACATTACGTGGTGATCCAACATGGGGACCTGGAATCGTGGTCCCCCCACTCTTGAATGCTTTAAATGAGAGCTCCAATGCACACATGCAGGACCACTCGTACAGCCAATTGGATACGCCGGAAAACTGGGACTTCAACATGAATAATGTTCATCGAACCCTGAAACTAAGTAACCCACTTCCCAATTTAATTGGATCGGATAACTTTGATCTTGTGGATTATTTGGATTCCAATCTGCTGGAGGATTCGGAACAGATGCCCCTTTCTCCTCCAACTTCTCCCTTTTCATTTCCGGCCATTGATGGATTGCAGCCACTCACGATAAGAAAAGAAACAGGTCCTGGAGCCGAAGATGAATTCGTGGATGTGGAGTCCATCGAGGAGGAGTCCAATATTGCAATCTCACATTACGAGGATAACATCGACGACTTGAGTGACATTGAATGCGAGGACTATCCATGGCTAAACGATATGTTAACTCCTAACCCAACATGAACTTCCAAACGATCTCAATTTTCCCTTGAGTACTATATTAAAAGTGCCTTGAAAGTTTGGGAAACAGGTAACCCTTGGGAGACATTTTTATATAACTCAAAAATATAAAAAAAACATAAACCAAAAATTGTACAAAAACTAATATGTGTTAAAGATTACATCTTATTTTTGTGACTAAAAAGCTGTTTAGAAAAATATAACATTTAACAACGAATACAGTTTTTCATGTTTACTAAAAAAATAACACAACTTTTTCTGATTTTTTAAAATAACTAGACCGTACTTTCTTTTTTGATTTGAAATATATATTCGATTAGGATTCTCTTCAGTGCGGAAATCTTTTATTATGGGTTACTTTGTTTAGCATATAAATAAAGGTGAGACTTTTAGCAGATCAAACACTGAAATTCCCTCTTACCTTTCATTAAAAAACCCCCAACTAATTTGTATTATTTTTTGGCAGGACATTCCACTGCACGTGGCGATGATCTCGCACATCCTGATCGCCTGGGACAGGATGCGCTGGCTAAACGATCCGCTGAAGGGCCGCCTGCCGGGATTCGTGTGCTGCTGCGCCACTTGGCTGACCGGAATGGTGATTGCCCTCCCATATCCCATCTACACCATCTACGTGGACATGGGGGTGAGTACAGCCCGACCGCCGGGGCACTTGTTACTTTATTAAAAAATCAGCGAGCAGGATGCTCGGTTGCCAGGGATGAGATCAAAGCGAAGCGCACTAGACCGGAAAAGCGCCAGCGACGGAGTCTGTGCCACATGCCACATGCCGCATGCCACCATCCACATGCACATGAGACCGCTCGACGAGCATCGAGTGACAGATTCCCAGGAACCAAAGGCACCTCCACTCACCTGCCACCTGCAACCTGCCACCCTGAGAATCCTGGCTAAAATTCTACTCGATGCTCGAGAAGTGCGGGCCCAATTGCAAAGGCCCAAGCCCGAAACCGTTAACATCGCCTGTCAACGGGCTTCTGGCTGCATTTTGTTGCCAAAATATTTGGCTACATCGACTTGGCTTCTCCTCCTCTCTTTTCCCCCGCCGCCTTTGCCCCCACCTGAAATTTGTGGCCACAACAGCAACAAGAGACATAAATATTTATGGGCCATAAAGTGTTGCAACTTTTTGATACACTCCTTCGCCTTGCCATCGCTTTTTCTATGTGTGTGTGTACTATGTGTGTGTGTGTTGGCATTGTGTCAAATCATCACTTGCATATATGTATGGGCTTTCACCCCACCTACACCACCTGGCTTTTCCCTCCTCGTCTGCATATTTTGCGAACTGAATTTCCCAAGCGTGAGCCAAGGAATGCCGGAAAAGCCAACATCTAAAAACCAGGCATCAAATTCTTGTTTTCAGATAGTTTCATTCTTAGGGGGCACATTGCAAAACACAATTGAAACAAACGAGTCTCACCCTCTGACTTTTTCGCCTTTTAAAAATGTATGACAATTTAGGTCAGTTTTTTTCGGTACTTTATTTTCGTTTCGGGAACACTCCTTTAAAATGCACAGAGCTCAAATTTGAATAATTCTCCAATTAATATTTATGTTGCATTCCCTTGAATTTGTATAAAACAAGCAACACGCAGTTTTCCCATTTTTTGCTGAATTGTGTTTATTAGTGTCATGTTTAAATTGTACATTTAAAACTTTAGATAGAGCTAAACCTTTCATACCTAAATCATGTTTCAGTTAAGCTGTTGCCGCTAATATTCTTTTGGAATCCATTTATATTATATTATTTATTCGATGCAATTTTGATCTCATTTTATTTATTTAAAAAATATGTAGAATCCTACTGTTTTTTTAATGATAATTTTCATTTTCCTATCTATTTGTGGTTTTTTTTTTATTATTTGCTTTTTCTTTGAATAGACTAGATTTGTTTGTTGAACTTAAATACAACAAATTTATGTGTTTTGCAAAGCTTTACTTTAAATGTATATTCGCTTGAATTATTCGCAAATGTATTTATATATATGTACAATTTTAATTTAATTAGAAAAGTTTAGCTTTCCTTAGAAGCTTATAATATCTGAAACGAAAATAAATGGGAGAAAATGTAGTTTTCCTAAATAGATGTCTCCTGTACTTCATTGCTAATATCATTCTAATTCTATTAATATCAGAATTCTAATCAGCTCCCATTTGGTGTCATTAGGGAATATTTTTATGCTTTTTTGTTGGTGGGTAACTGGGAACTGAATCGACTAAACCGAGCGCATCTGAGACTGGCTACCCGCACCTTTTGAGTCCCGAGGAGAACTGGCACACATTGCCGAGTTGATTGAACCTTTGCCGGCAATTTGGTGTAATTTATTTGGCAATTCAGTGGCCACACAACCTGTCACTGCGAATGGGGCAACAAGTGGAGCCCGTCGCTCTGAAATCGTCCTGGGGGACCTGCCGGCCTGTCTGCCTGCCTGGTTGGTGCTCTCCTGCAGGCTCAGTCGCCTGTCAATAATTTCATTAATTCAATATTTGCGTATAATTTGATGGCTCCTCTCCAAGGCAACAACTCGTCCGCTGGAAAATCCCTGGCGGAGCGGGGCTTATTATCTGAAAGGGAATGGGGTATCCTGTTTGTCCTTTCAAAAACCCCACTCTCCCCCCTCTTTCTCGTCCTCTTTCTCTGTCTCTGTGTGTTTGCGGCAATTTATGAATATTTTAGCATTCTATTACGACGACACACACACACACACACACACACACAGAGTGAGTGAAACGAGTCCTTGTCTGCCCTGAATATGGGTGTATAAACAATTCCATGTGGACTCTGATTGCCAATTCACAATTTGGCAAACTGTTCCACAAATTCTCCCAACCAGAGATCGTTTCTCCGTTTAATAAGCAAAAGTTTACCATAGTTTTGAAACCTAAAAAAAAAAAAAACAAAAACCCAGAAAAAAGATGGAAAACCCAACCCCACGCAGCGGCGAAAAGTCAAACACTAAAATGAATTGCTTCGACCATTCAGCCAGAAAGGTTCAGATGAGTTCAGCTCGGTTTGCTCCACTTTCCACTTTCCACTTTCGAATGGGTCGCCTTCGATTTTCAGGTGCGGGTAATAAGCGATTTCATAACTGGCCGGCCAAAAAAGTTTCGCTGTTTGTTTTTTGTGTTTGGCCTGGAAAAGTGTCAGAAACTTTTTCCATACACACAAAGCAAATTGAAATTTTCCATATTTATACGCATTCCCCCCCAACAATTCGGCTACCTGGCTTCCCTTTGTGCGGCGGCAAATTGATTTTTTAAGTTGTCCCCAAACAAATCAGTATGGAAAAATAACAGAAATACAGAAATCCCTTTGCCTTTGCCTTTACCTCCATCAACTTGGCGCTCCTGTCGACTGACTCACCAAAGAAAAAAAAGGGCGGAGCATTCTAGTTATCGTTTCCAAATTATCTATTCCCGTTTTGGTAATCCCTCAGTTTTAAGCTCCTCGTTATTTACTGATTTATGCCTTCTGACGTCCTGTTTTCGAATTCAATGAGTTGGCACGAAGATTGCTTAATCCACTAATAATCTGCATAAATATCTGCATAGAAAAAGGATTTTAATTTAAACTAATGGGAACTTAATTATCCACCAATCTGACTTTGGCAAGACTTTTAAAGAGGATTATTTCATCACATGTCTTACTTATTTCGTTTTGAATGAAGGATAATAGAATACCTTTATGATCTAACTGCTGCAGTTGTACATTTGTAATATTTGTCAAGTTTTCTTTTATACAAATAAAGATATTCAATATAATATAGTATTTGAAAATCAAACTTTGAAATTAAGAATTTCCAATCTTCTTAACTGTTTATGAAAACAACCTTCAATTTATGCAAGTTGTATTCTTTGCAGGCGAATAGAAGTTTATTGAAGGTGGCTGCAAAATCCTAATAGCTAAAAGCCCCCTAATACATGCAGCATTATTAGAAGAGAATTATTGTTAAACAACATCACTTGCCGCAGGAAACTGCGAAGTTTGCTCGAATTGAAAGCCTTTGAGGGCATTTATGACATGGTTTGCTGCAGTTTGAAGTTGCTACATTTTAAGTTTGCCATCCCACCGTTGGCTATATTTTTCCTTTAGTATTTTCTTAGTCCTTTCTCTTAGACTTATAACTGGCTTGGGAGAAAGTTGAGTGCCCCGTCGAAGTTCCCATGAACTAGCTTAAATCGTTGTTGTTTTTTTTTTTTTTTTTTTTGTATGCAAAGAACACGCCTTTGTCTCGTCCCCATCGCCCCTATTTATTTTCCCCGCTCTGTGGCTACAGTTTATTTATGTTTGCTGTTCAGTTGTTGCTCCTCTTCTGCTTCCCCTCTTCCTCTCCTTTCCCCTCTCTCTCGCCCTCTCTCTCCGCTGCCTCGTTGCGGATATCCGGTTGCCGGCGTTGACTTTGGCACGCGGCATCTCCTAATCCCCTCCAGCTTTTGCTTCCAACCCAGCTAAACACCGCCCACCGCCTTTTTGGTATTACCAACAGAAACAGAACTTGGCCGGATATGCGCCTGCAAAACGAAAACGAAATTACGCCGGGGGGTTGGGAAAGCAGGGGAAAATCAGGGAGAAAGGGGGAGTGGGTGGTGGCACAAAATTCAAGTCACTGCGCAAAAGAAACGTCTAAAGTAAACATTATCAAGTCTACAAAGGCAGACAAGCGGGCGGGATTTGGTCGGAATTGGGCTAGGACCGCCTAGAAGCCTGGGAGCGATTGGGATAACACTCTCAATGGATTCCCTCAACCAAAAGACACGATTATGGGATAGTTGAGATCAAAGCCCCTCTTACATTTCTCAATTTGCGAAGGAACTATTAATTAATACGCTCGGTTCGGATAGCTTTATTTTAAGCCAGATTAACAAAGGTATTTTTGAAAGCTTAAAAGTATAGTTTAAAATTGTATTAAATAATATTAATGCACATTAGTCATAAATATCTTTGAGCCATTGGGATTAACTTTCAATTCCTTAGAACCTATATAAGTAGGATGTCTTAAAAAGCCAGATATATTGTCAAGGTAAAAAATCTTGAAACAATTACATTGAGCTTTAAAGGATATATTTTAGGTCACACATTAGCTGTTCTGGAATGATTAAAATAATGATTTTAACTAGCTAAAAAAGATAAATAATATTTTGAACAGAATTTTGTATTATTAAAATATTTATACACAGTCTGTTAGAATCTTCACCTTTTGTGAGGGAAACAACATTACTTTCGTATATTTAATATTAAAATACAATTTATTTACCGGCAATAAAAGTCGCCGGATATGAGTAACATCGTAGTTAGGCACTCAGGAATTCCTATACTATATATAAACCGAGAGCTCTATCCACCATCTCGTTCCGGGGAACAAGGGCATTCCAAAGTTGTTAGGGTAGCTCCACCCGGACACTCCTGCCCTCGGAAGCCTCGTTTGCCATTTTATCTGGCGCAGAAAGAAAGGAAACTTTAAATACAATCAACTGGCCCCATTTGCCTTGGCTTGGGGCTCGTTGTAACAATTTGTAAAAATTACACATGCACACTCGCCCACACTGGAAAAAAAATGAAAAAATAGAAAAAGAAGGAGGAGGAGAAGGAGGAAGGGGGAGGGGAAGGGGTAGCCAGTGGGC